TCTTCCTCAGCAAAAGAGGAGGATTAGCACGGATGTTAGCTCAGGGCTGATCTTCCTCACAAAAAAAAAATAATTAAAAAAATAAAATAAAAAATAAACCAATAAATTCCCTTTTCACTGATCAAAGAAAGCCAATGGCCATTTCTGTGTTCAAGGGCAAGCCTACTATACGCCCAGGAGAGAAATATTTGATGGACAGCACTAATGAGTTTCACAGTCTCCACTATGATGGTGAATTTGTCAGTTTCTTTCTACAGTTCTACCAATTTTTACTCTATATCGTAGTTCGAAGCTATAATATTATGTGGATACAATTTAGAACTATTATGCACTTCTGGTGAGTTGAACCTTTTTCATTATGAACCAGCCTATTTGTATTAGTCATCTTTTGCTAAGTTAGGCTGCAGGAATAGCATGATAGCATGAATCATGCACTGGCTCTTAAAGCACCCACCTGAAAGTGACACATTTCACATTACATTTGTCAAAAACAGCCGCATGACCATGCCTAACTTCAGAATCTCTGTAGCTTACAACAAGAAGGGTTAATTTCTCACTCATGTCATATGTCCTTTGTGAGCCGTTTGTAGCACTACCCATTCTTCATTCTGCATTATCTTCATGCAAGGATCCAGGCAGAGTATCCCCATTGGTGACAAGATCTTGCAGCAGAGGGAAAGAACGATGGTTCTTAAAGCTCTGCTCAGGAGTGTACACATACCTTCCACTCATGTTTCAGTGACCAAACCTGAAGTCCACGGGGCGGGAAGTACAGGCCTTTTACAGGGAGGGGCAGCAAATTGTTGAGAACCATAATAGAATGCACCACACTATTTCTAGCAATGCTTTTTGCCTTAACATCTATTTTGTACAATGTTAATATAGCTAATACACCCAGCATGGAATCTCTTTTGCCATTCTTTTACTTCAAATTTTCTATCTTTGTGTTTTAAACAGTATATAGCTTGATTTTTAAAAAAATCTGGTATTACAATCTGTCTTTTAACTAGAAAGTTTAAGTTCTTTAAAACTATATTTATTGTGATTACTGATACATTTGGATTTATTTTTCCACTTTATTTTGTGCTTTGTATTTTTTCCACTTTTTATGTTTTTTTGTTTCTGCCTTTATTTCCTTCCTTTCCTTTTTTTTTCGTGTGAGGAGATCAGCCCTGTGCTAACATCTGCCAATCCTCCTCTTTTTTTGCTAAGGAAGACTGCCCTGGGCTAACATCCGTGCCCATCTTCCTCCACTTTATATGGGACACCGCCACAGCATGGCTTGCCAAGCAGTGCGTCGGTGCGCGCCCGGGATCCGAACCGGTGAACCCCGGGCCACCACAGCGGAGTGCGCGCACTTACCCGCTTGCGCCACCAGGCCAGTCCCCCTTTCCTTTTTTTTTAAATATTATTTTTCTTTTTCTAATTTGGCCTATAACTCTATTTTTATTCTTTCAATGGTAAGCTTCAAAATGTTAGTGTTCATATTTAATTAAAAGTCTAATGCTAATCAATATGTTTATGGACAGTGCAAAGATCTTGGACTGATTGAACTATTCGCTCCAATTCTTCACTATCCCTGTATGCAAACCCTTTGTCATAATCCTTTATGGCTTCTTCCTACTATAACTCTGGACTCTGTCATGTGACTTGCTTTGGCCAATAAGATGTAAGAAGAGCCTTGAAAATGTGCTTGTACATTTCCATTGCTCTCTTTTGTGTCCCTGCCATTGCCATGAGAACTTGTCCCGACTACCTGGCTGGTGAGTGAGAGACCCGTGGAGCAGAGTCAAGGCCCCCAGCAAGGCCATCCTAGATCAGCTGACCTCAGACATGTAAGCAAGCCCAGCCAAGCTCGGCAGAGCTTCCTAACCCATCCCTAGCAGACACCAGATGTGAGCAATAAACAAATACAGTTGCAGCTTTCTGAGGATTTGTGGCTGTTATGTGCTAGATAAGTGACACTCACTTTATAATGCTTTAACTTCAATAATCCTCTTATACTTTATAAACTACCATTCCATATTATTGTGGTTTTGCCTTTTTTAATCCCACAAATTATAAATTGTTCTCATTATTTGCCCCTGATGTTTGTTTATATTTACCATGTTTGCCATTTTATTTGCTCACCAATCCTTATTGTTCCTCAGATCTTCCTCCTGGGATCATTTTATTTCTTCCTGAAATATATCTTCTAGAAGATCCTACAGTTAAGTTCTGTTAGTAGTAACTCTTAGCTTTTCTTGATCTGAAAAGTATTTTGTTTTCATTCTTAAAAGATTGTTTGCTAAGCATACAATTCTAGGAAGACAATTGTTTTCTCTCATCACGTTAAGGCTATTATTTCATTAACAAAGTTATTTCATGCTATTATTATTATCATTGTTCCCATTATTGCCATCGAACAGTTAGGAATTAGTATCACTGTCATTCCATTGTAGATTGTCTGACTTTCCTCTCTGTCTGCTTTCAAAATCATCTCTTCTGCTTTGGTGTTATGTAGTTTCACCAGACTAAATCTAGGTTTTCTTTATCTTTATCCTATTTGGGACTCGTGTTTCCTGAGGATTCTTATTTTTCATCAATTCTGGAAAATTCTCAGCCATCATTATTTGACAAGTGCCTTGCTCACATTCACTTTACTATCATTTTATTTATTTATTTATTTATTTATTTGTTTATTTATTGAGGAAGATCAGCCCTGGGCTAACATCCATGCCCATCTTCCTCTACTTTATATGGGACACAGCCACAGCATGGCCTGACAAGTGGCATCCGAACCCGGGCCACCAGCAGCAGAGTGCGTGTACTTAACCGCTACGCCATGGGGCCAGCCTCTCACATTCACTTTATTATCATCTTCCAACAAAACTTCTAACATATGATGGACCTTCTCACTCTTTTCCATTTCTTTGTCTCTCTGGGATGCTTTTTGGGTTATTTTCTGCAAATCTATATTTTAGTTCACTAATTTCTCTTCAGCTGTATCTAATTTGGTATTTAACCCTTCCAATGAGCAATACATCTAAAATGGATCTGCCTCTGCTGCTTGTCTTCTCTGCTTATTTCCTCATGGGTTTTGCAGTTTTTGATTGTGAGTTCATATTCCTTTGGAAGTCTATCGTGGGAATTTTTTGAGGTTGATAGTGAGTTCTTCCAGAGAGGACTTGTGTTTGCTTTGGCCAAGTACCATAGGTACTAACTGCCCAGGTCCATTTTAAGTCGAAATGTTCAGCTTGTGGGCCTTTGGACCATGCAAACAGTCTTGCCATGCATCCACTAGGGAAATGCTTTACCCCTCTACCCAGAGCCAAGGCAGAGAAAGACAACTTTCCTTGCTGCCTGCCTCTGAAAGGCAGATTTTTTTTTCCTCTAGTTATCCTTCCCCTGAAGTTATATTCCTTCTTGGGTTTCAACCTGATGTTCCAATTTGGCTCTCATCCTGCCTGGATCCACGTAGATGCCCTTACAGCTGGTAGCAGCATCACAGTTTACCTACCTCCAGAGATGATTTTCAAAATATTTGTCACTATAGCACACGCACCAACCAATCAAAACAGGTACAGACTGCGCCTGTGTGTAACTTCTGACCATCAACTCTTAACTTCCTGGTCCTGTGTTTCTGCTTTCTTTCTGGCCCCAGATTATTTTCCTGACTTTCTCACAAACTTATCCATGCATTTAAAAGGGTGTTTTCAAGATTTATCCTACCAATTTTATATATTTTGTGCTGTTATATTTGGAGATATGTAGTCTACAATATTGCTAGACATAAAGTCCAAGTAAGAAGTTTATTAGGCAACAAAACATCCAGGAGTAAATAGTCCAAAGCTGGGACTGTAGCTTAATGTCATGTAAGACCTAGGCTTTCTCAATCTTTCTGCTTTACCAGCCTTAGCATTTGCTTGTCACATCAAAGGCATATGATGGTAACTGAACTTCCAACCTTCAGGTCTGCTTAGAGGCAGGAAGAAAATAAAAGTGGCAAAACACTTAAGGAGCATACTCAACTAGAAGTCCTAGTGGACTTTGTAAAAAAAAAAAAAAACTTTTTCAGAAGCCCACTAGATGACTTCTACAATAAGCATTATGGGACAGAAGTTGGTCACATGACTATGCCCAGTCCAACTAAAGACAGTTAAATTTTTTCAACTATACCATGGCGTGAAAGCGATACGCAATCAGTAGAAACCATACTTGGAATTTTGGTCCTTTCCCAGGCTAACCATGTGCAGTAGGATACTCTCTCCCGCTGGGCAGCGGCAGCCAGCAGAAGCTCCCAGTCGGCCACAAGATCGAGAAGGCAAACAACCGATACACTTACAAGCCTTCTGTACCCATACAACCATTCTGTTTTTCACTTTCAGGACAGTCTTCAATAAATTACATGAGATATCCAACACTTTATTATAAGATAGGCTCTGTGCAGATGATTTTGCCCAACTGTAGGCTAATGTGAGTGTTCTGAGCACATTTAAGGAAGGCTAAGCCAAGCTACGATATTTGGGAGGTTAGGTGTATTAAATGCATTTCAACATAGGATATTTTCCACTTACGATGAGTTTATCGGGAGGTAACCCCATTGTAAGTTGAGGAAGATCTGTACTGGCTAATGAGAATGAGATTACCATGAATAGTCTGGACCAATTATGAGTCATTCCCTCTAGCTAGGGTGATGTCCCCTGAGATCAAAGGTTCTTCTCTGGTATCTGAACAAAATGAGGTTTTTCTTAGGGGGGCCCAGCACAACGCCCGCCACACAGAACGCGCTGGTCCTTTTACTCAACATTTACTGAGCATCCACTACGTGCCAAAGGCGCTGTGGAGGCAGAAATGGATTTGACAGAATCTCTGCTACGCAGGCTGAGATTGGTCAAGGTTTAAAAAGGGTTTAGTGCTCGGTATCAGCTCCCCACCTGCCAGCCCTGACCCCAGCGTCCCTAAAGCTCATCTACCGGCTCCAGTTGACACTGCGCAGGCGCCGGCTATCTCGGCTCGCTCTCCTGACGCCCCGCCCAGAACGTGAGTCCGCATGCGCACACCGCTTTCTCTCGCTGACGCACCCCCGGAAGCACTGGCAGTGTCGGGGGCGGGGCCGGGAAGCGTTTCCGGGGGCGGGAAGCGCAGGCTGAGGCGGTCGCGGCGGCGACGGCTTGAACGGGCCTGGCGGCTACGGTGGAAAGTGTCCCGCGGGCGGGCTGTGTGAGCACGGAGGCCTTGGCAGGTACGGCGGAGTCGGGACAACGGTAGCGAGGAGGCAGGGAAGGAAGCCGGAGAGGTTTAAGGGCTTCTCTGCAGGTCCCGGCGCGCGCGCCGCCGGCCCCGTTGGGCCCATTCCGCCAACCGGGATGCTTAAGTCGTGCGCGGGCAGTTGGAGTCCCGGCGCCCCGACCCCGACTCCTGCGGTCTCCAGCCAGCCCGACGCGCGTACCGCGACACCAAGGCCCCCGAGGCAGCGTCTTGCCCAAGGTCACCCCGCGGCGGCGGACCTCGGCTGACCAGCGCGCTTAGAGATCCCGCCCCCGTCCGTCCGCTGGCCTTTCGGGGGCGCCGGGTGGGCTTGGCGGCCTCGGGTTGGAGCCAGAGCCGGGAGAACGGCTGCGCCCAGACTTCGCTGATTCTCTCTCTCTTTACCTCTGTTTTCTCTGTTGTTGTCTCTGTCACCTGTTGTCACCTGCCCTTTTTTGCCTCTCAAGTCCGCGCTTGTCAACTTTGTATTTCTCTCCACTTTGTCTCTCTTAGGATCTGGGCCCTGTGTTTATTTCTGTCTGCACCTTGCTTCTGTAGTCTTCTGACCCTGTGTTTCCCTTTCTGTCCTTACTCGCATTCACGGCCTGCCGGTCAGTCCAGTTCTTTGGCCATCTGTGTTTCTCTCTCTGCCAATTTTACGTCTTTCTTGTTTCTGCCTCTCCTAACTGGGTTCGTCTGGGTGGGGCGGGGCAGGCCTGCCTGGACCTCTGAGCCGTGGAAGGTGACTCATGACCCCGTGAAGCTTCCTGCACTGGTGACATTCTCAGTGACTAGACTGTAGTCTGGCCTCAACTCTGACAGGTGTCGCTCAACCTAAGTGTCAGGGTGCAGGAGCTCCTGGCAAGTAGATAGGAGACCATCTCGGGGCCAAAGTAGCTTGATGAATCCTTGCCTTTTCTTTCCGGCACAGCTCCCTACTTCACTTTGTTCCATCGGCTTATCCCAGGATGGTCTCCAGGGCTCTCAGGAGCCTGCTCTTTGAGTTACAGCTGTTAACCAGGCCTGTCCAGAGGCTAGCAAAGGGTCAGTCAGATCCTCTGCCCCTTGGGGCTCCTGGAACGGTAGCAGAATTTCTGGGAGAGCTGGATGCTTAGTTCAGACTTTGTCATATGGACAGGTGGGTTAGGAGAAACCTAATAATTTGGGGTTCATTCTTTGCTTTACAAATGTACTCACTAGAGAAATAAGCCAAACACAAAAGAACAAATATTGTATGAGTCCACTTATATGAGGTATCTAAAATAGGCAAATTTATAGAGGCAGAAAGTTGAATATGGTTTACCAGCGGCTGAGGGGAGGAGGGAGTGGAGAGTTACTGTTGAATGGATACATTGTTGTAGTTTGGAATGATGAAAAAGTTCTGGAAATGGATAGTGGTGATAGTTGCACAACATTGTGAATGTACTTAATGCTACTAATTGTACACTTTAAAATGGGTAAAATGGTAAATTTTAAATATGTGTTACCACAATACAAAAAAAAATTGCTCATTGGAAACGCCTGGAACTAACAAGCTCTTTGAAAATGTGATTTTAAAAATTGATTCTGTAGCTTTTAGGAACATTAAGTTGCACCTACGTTTATTGATGCCTGCTCTCTTCACAGCCAAGGTCTTTAGTAAAGGAGTTTGTTTAAAAGAATTCGGTTAAAATCTTCCTCAAGTTTTCTACTTGCTGCAGGTTCCCGCCCCGGCTCTCCTCCCTCTGTAGTCCTTGGGTTTAGTGCAGGAATCTGCTGCATAAGTAGGAAATTTGAGGAAGAATTTACTTTTCACATGAAAAAAACTCTTCAGGTTGGAAAAATAGCCCTTTTATTATAACGCAAAATTATGTAGTATTTCTTGTGTGTTTTCTGATAGTGGAGGCCTTTGTTTCAGGTTCTTGTTTAAGCTATCAATTTGCCTGTACGGTAGTTTATCAAGCCGTCTTATACAGCTGCTGAGTTGCTACCGTGTTGAATTCTAGGTACCATCGATTATTTTATGTATTACCAAAGGAAGAGAAAACACTGCCAATTAAGCTATGACATGCTTTATTATCATTTAGGTTTTCAAAAATTCTTATTGAAAACATTTTCAGAGTTATTTAGGCATTTTTAAATAAAATATTCTAATGTATATATCAAAAGAAAAAATAAGTGAAATAGATTGGTTTAAAGTGTTCATTAAACTTCTTAACATTCCTACTCTTTTCAATACTTTTCAGTTCAGAGTTGCGTCCATACTTTTCCCAGTGTTGGCCTTTATGCCATCAAAAACGTTGATGAGCCTCTCGGGAGTGCCCTATCATTGTCTCAGGCAGTGACAACTATTAAAATTTCCACCTGGCCATCACGTCCTGATTTCAGAAATTTTAAAATGTGCCTCTTAAAATCAATTGAATATGCTCTATGTTATTTTCATGAACTTTTCCTTTTTGCGTTATTTATATTTGCAGTTAGACTAGAAAGAGGTTTTTGTCTTATTTGTAACATATCGAGGAAAAAAAAGTTTCCTTTTGTTGGTATTAGTTAATAATTTTCATGAAGTGAGTACTCTTTCTGCCTTCTGCTTTGTTGATTTGAGCTTATTATCCTGAATTCTAATGAATATGAGGGTGCAGTTAAAAACATTTCCTCAGCTTTATTGTAATGTAATGGAAGGATGACTGATAAGTGAGGAGTTAGTGGCCAGAACAATACTTTCTCTTTTGAATCTCAAAGAGTTTACCACAGTGGAATGTTTGCCCTGAAGTTTTAAATAAAATGTTCAGCTGTGACTTAAAGGGAGACACGAATCAAACTTCGTCAAGTAGGTAGCTTGTTTTTTAAAAATTCTAAAATAAGTTTTACTAAATTGTTTGTCTAAAGTGTTCCAATTAGGAGAAAATATAGGGATGCTGATTGACAATGGTCTGGAGACTGAAAACACTTTCCAAAGAATATTTTAATTCTGCAGAATTACATAGGCATTGACCAATGTGCCATGATAACGTAAGGTGTTAACATTAAAGGGAGCTGGGTGAGGGGCATATGGGAACTCTTGGCGTTCTTGGCAACTTTTCTGTAAATCTAAAATTATTCGAAAATTAAAAGTTTATTTAAAAATAGTATTTATTAGCAAGGCACATGTACACAGTGAATGGCACTAACAACTCTTACATTTTCAACATAATTTTTCCTTTCAGAAGTCAATGTGATTTTAATTTGAAGCAAAACTGAGAAATGGGTTCCTGTTCCTCATTCATTCATACTGCATTTTGATGGCCATGGCATAAGAAACTTTATCCCAGGAATACGACTTTGCATTAGGTAAGCTATAAACTTGCTAAACGTACAATTTTTAGAATTATTTACTAAAATAGTTTCTTTTTCAGCAAAAATAATAATGTAATTGTATTTAGTGGCTGTAGACCAGAAAGTTCTTTTACTTCTCTTCTGGGGAAGAGATATTGCACATTTTAAGGCCATTCGCTGCCATACGTTGTTGTACTGTTAGAGCATTTAACTTCAGAGAAAACTTTTCTGCTAAGTGACTTTTTTTTAGCTTAGAAAAATATTAGATTTGGAATTACACTTCTGTTTGAATCCTGACATACAATTTCTGAGATATGTGACCTTGGGCAAGTCTTTTAACCTTCCTAAGTTTCAGTTTACTCATCTTTAAAATAAGTATGATTGAGGGCCGGCCCCGTGGCTTAGCGGTTAAGTGCGTGCGCTCCGATGCTGGCAACCCCGGTTCAGATCCTGGGCACGCACTGATGCACCGCCTCTCTGGCCATGCTGAGGCCACGTCCCATATACGGCAACTAGAAGGATGTGCAACTACGACATGCAACTATCTACTGGGGCTGTGGGGGAAAAACAGGAGGAGGATTGGCAATAGATGTTAGCTCAGCGCTGGTCTTCCTCAGCAAAAAGAGGAGGATTGGCATGGATGTTAGCTCAGGGCTGATCTTCCTCACAAAAAAATAAATAAATAAAAATAAAATAAGTATGATTGAGCCAGCCCTGATGGCCTAGTGGTTAAGGTTCGGCCCCCTCCTCTTCTGTGACCCAGGTTCGGTTCCCAGGTGCAGAACCACACCACTTGTCTGTCAGTAGCCATGCTGCGGCAGCTACTCACATAGAAGAATTAGAAGGACCTACAACTAGGATATACAACTGTGTACTGGGGTATTGGGGAAGAAAATAATAATAATAAAATAAAATAAATCTGATGATACAGGTGTTACTGAACCAGGTTTGTTTTTGCCAGTCTCCCAGAAAGCCAATCACAGAAACGAGATTGCAGCAGAGAGGATTTTAATCACAAGGCAGCCAAGTGAGGAAACCAGAGAACAAGTCTTAGATCCACCTCCTCGAAAATGTGGACTCGGATATTTATGGGGTAGAGGGACAAGGAGGTGTGAAGTGTGGAGATAGATGATTGGAGATGAGAAGAGGTGAGGTAATTGATGATCTGCACAAGCATAGTCAAATTTCATGGCTCTTCATAGGACGCGTGTTCCTAACATGACGGCGTTAGCATGATCTGAGGATGGAGTTTTTAGCCTCTTGACGTCAAAAGGTCACTTATCGGGCACCTCTGCAGGCCCAGTTGATGAGTTGGTGGTCTCAACACACCTGAACTGGACAAGGGGGTCCTAATTCCTGAAAAGCAGCTCAAACATATGTTACCATGGTGACCCAGCCAGGGAGATGTTATCTATAGGAACCTAGTGGGAGTCAGTTAGTATATTGCCTTAGCAGCACAGTTAACAATGGGCGGGTGAACAACTAAAAGCTATAATTAGTAATTGCAAAAAAAAAAAAAAAAACAACTTTAGTTACTAGCTACCTAATCATCCATGGCTAACTGCTTACTGGTTTCACAGGGGTATCACAAGACCCAAATTTACTCAGTCTGCTTGGTGAACTGTAAAGTATTTGACTAATGTAAAGAATTTTGGTAGGCATGGGGTATGGGTATTTTTATACATTTGTGCCAGTCTTTAGATTTACTAAAGTAATATTTACTGTTTAAATGTGCTCGCTGCGGTAAGCATGCAAATTACCATATGCTCTGATTAAGAGATCTCTGGAGGGCTTCAAGACAAGTAGCTGGTGGGTCTGCTTCCCTGTTATATTGCTGTCATCTGTGTTTTTAGGATACGTAATTGGTGTTTAAATAGTGTATAAAACTTGACATACAGTTCTTCAGCTGAATAATAAATACAGGCTACTATTATACTCATTGAAGTTGGAAGGGATCTTGGAGGTAATCTAGTTCAGTGATTCTTCAATATTTGCCCTTCGTCTTCTGCTTTAAAAAAAGCCAGATAGGGCCGGCCCTGTGGCTTGGTGGTTAAGTGCGCGCGCTGCAATGCTGGCGGCCCGGGTTCGGATCCCGGGTGCGCATCGAGGCACCACTTCTCCGTCCATCCTGAGGCCGAGTCCCACATACAGCAACTAGAAGGATGTGCAGCTATGACATGCAACTATCTGCTGGGGCTTTGGGGGGAAAAAATAAAAAAAAAAAAAAAAAAAAAAAAAAAAAAAAAAAAAAAAAAAAAAAAAAAAAAAAAAAAAAAAAAAAAAAAGCCAGATAGCCTCCATGAACCATGGAGGGAGTGAGCTGGGCTTGGTGTGTTTGGTTTAGAACTGTTGGAATTTTTTAAAAAACTATGTGCAAAGTGATGTATAAAATTGCCAGTACCTCATTAAGTCTGAGGATGGTGAATAATTTGCTCTAGAGTTTATGAATGCATTGTATGTTTTAGATTATTTCAGTTATTTGTGAAAATCAAATATTCACCTTTACCTTCCATACTGTCTCATCTCTCAGGCTATAAAGGGCCTGAACAAGAGTTTTGAATTTAAATTCCAACTTCACTGCTTACTAGTTATATGACCTTAGGCAAGTAGTTTAGCCTCTTTGTTTATTTCCTATTTATACAATAGGAATAAAAAATACTTATTGAGTGGATTGTTACGAGGATTAAATGAGGTAAAATACACCAAGTGCTTTGCACAGACTCTTGTACGATGCACGCATTTAATAAATAGTAGATGCTGTTATTATTCCTGCTAATTGTGACATTTTCCTGGTTACCCAGTCAGGAAACTTCAGAGTGGGTATTGGTAACTAGTTTACCTTGCATTACTCTATTTTTTAAACAGCTTTATTGAGACATAATTCATATACAATTAAGAGTTTTTTAGTATATTCAATGGATTGGATACCCATCACTACAATCTAATTTTAGAATTTTCATCCCCCCTAAAAAAAGAAAATAGCAGTCACTCTTCATTTCCTCTCCCCGTAGTTCCTGGCAGCTGCTGATTTACTTTTGTATATGGATTTCCCTATTCTGGACATTTCATATAAATGGAATCATAGAAGATGTGGCCTTTTGTGTCTTAAATTCTTTCACTTGGCATAATGTTTTCAAGGTTCAGCCATGTTGTCACATCTATCAGTACTTCTTTTTTATTGCCAAAAGAATAGCATAATACAATAATACACACATAGTACATAATAAAATGGAATAATATTCCATTATATGGCTATACTGCATTCTATGTATCCAGTCATCAATTGAGAATATTTGGGTTGTTTCCATTTTTTGGCTATTATGAATAATGCTGTAATGGACATTCATGTGTAAGTTCTTTGTGGACATCAAATGTTTTCATTTCTCTTGGGTATATGCCTACTAGTAGAATTGTTGGGTTACATGGTAGCTCGATATTTAACTTTTTGAGGAACTGCCAAACTGTTTTCCCAAGTGACTACACGATTTTACATTCCCACCAGCAATGTCTAAGCATTCCAATCCTTCCATATCCTTGCCAACACCTGTTATTATCTGTCTTATTTATCATAGCTGTCTGAGTGGGTGAGAAGTGTTATCTCATTGTAGTTTCGATTTGGGTTTCCCTAATGAATAATGATACTGAGCATTTTTTATGTGCTCATTTGTGTATCTTCTTTGGAGAAATGTCTATTCAAATCCTTTGCTCATTTTTCAATTGGATTGTCTTTTTATTATTGAATTTTAAGAGTTCTTTATATATTCTGGAGACAGGTCACTTACCAGTTTTATGATTTGCATATGTTTCCTCCCATGTTGTAGATTATCTTTTCACTTTCTTGATGGTGTTGTTTGTACCTTACACTACTCTTGCATCTTCCTGCCTACCAGTTCAGTTAATCCCATCAATTCTACCTCTCTGTTTTCCACGCTCACTGATACTTTCATTACCTCTAACCTAGACTATATTTGCTGAAATCTTATAATTAGCCTCTGCTTCAGACTTGTTGCTGCTTTAAGTCCATCAGCAGATTATCCTTCCTGAACGTATTTCACAGCATATCACTCAGAAGTTTTGGGTGCTGCCCCCAGTGCCTACCTTTAAGGCTCAAACTCGTCTTTCAGCAGGATAGTCTTAGTCATCCTTTCCAGGTTTATCTCCCATCACTCTCTGTCACTGGTAGAAGGAAGCACAGGTGATGATCTGTGTTACTAGGAGTGGTCTTGAATGGAAGAGAGCTGAGAAAGAGCTTGTGAGATGGCTTTCTGGTGGGAATTTTATCATAGCCTAGGATCTTGCCCTCAGTGTGATGGGACCAATAACTCAATTTCTTCATGCATCACACTCACAGTGTACTCAACCCACAAGAGATTAAAGTAAACAAACTGGAATGCCATGTGATTTATAATTTTTCTTTCTCTGTTAATAAGTGAGATAGGCTTATAGTTTTTTCTTTGTTGTCTAGTTTTGATACTAGGGTTTTATATAAAAATGATTAGTAAGTTTCTTCCTACCCTTATTCCTTTGCCCCCTTCTTCCCCCTCTGAAACAGTTTATATAGCATAGGAATTAGTTATACAGAATTTTCTCATAAAATATTTTAGGCCTGGTGTACCTTTGGAAATAATTTGTACATGTTTTGTAATTTCTCCACAATTATTGATCTGTAGAGATTTTTTTCTTCTCAGGTCCGTTCTGACAATTTACATTTTTCTATAAAACTTTTTATCAGTGAGACTTTAAAATTTATTAGTGTGTTGGGGCCGGCCTGGTGGCATAGTGGTTAAGTTTATGCATTCCGCTTCAGCGGCCTGGGGTTCACCAGTTCAGATCCTGGGCAAAGACCTACTCACCACTCATCAAGCCACGCTGAGGCGGCGTCCTGTATAGAAGAGCTACAACTCTACAACTATGATACACAGCTATGTACTGGGGCTTTGGGGAGAAAAAAGAAAAAAGAGGAAGATTGGCAGCAGATGTTAGCGCAGGGCCAGTCTTCCTCAAAAAGAACAAAC